TACACAGACGTTTGTTTGACATCGACACATTCCATATGACAATGTTGCTTGGTATCCTATAGATAGTAGTGCATACACAGACGTTTGTTTGACTATCGTTACATTTCATATGACAATGTTGCTTGATATTCTATAGATAGTAGTAGATACACATACGTTTGTTTGACATCGACACAGTTCATATGACAATGTTGCTTGATATTGTATAGATAGTAGCAGATACACAGACGCTTGTTTCACAATCGACACATTTCATATGACAATGCTGCTTGATATTCTATAGATAGTAGTAGATACACAGACGTTTGTTTGACTATCGACACAGTTCATATGACAATGTTGCTTGATATTCTATAGATAGTAGTTCATACACAGACGTTTGTTTGACTATTGACACATTTCATATGACAATGTTGCTTGATATTCTATAGATAGTAGTAGATACACAGACGTTTGATTGACTATCGACACATTTCATATGACAATGTTGCTTGATATTCTATAGATAGTAGTAGATACACAGACGTTTGTTTGACTATCGAAACATTTTATATGACAATGCTGCTTGAAATCCTATAGAAAGTAGTAGATACAGAGACGTTTTTTTGACTATCGACACATTTTATATGACAATGCTGCTTGATATCCTATAGATAGTAGTAGATACACAGACGTTTGTTTGACTATCGACACATTTCATATGACAATGTTGCTTGATATTCTATAGATAGTAGTAGATACACAGACGTTTGTTTGACTATCGAAACATTTTATATGACAATGCTGCTTGAAATCCTATAGAAAGTAGTAGATACACAGACGTTTGTTTGACTATCGACACATTTTATATGACAATGTTGCTTGAAATCCTATAGAAAGTAGTAGATACACAGACGTTTTTTTGACTATCGACACATTTTATATGACAATGCTGCTTGATATCCTATAGATAGTAGTAGATACACAGACGTTTGATTGACTATCGACACATTTCATATGACAATGTTGCTTGATATTCTATAGATAGTAGTAGATACACAGACGTTTGTTTGACTATCGAAACATTTTATATGACAATGCTGCTTGAAATCCTATAGAAAGTAGTAGATACACAGACGTTTGTTTGACTATCGACACATTTTATATGACAATGTTGCTTGAAATCCTATAGAAAGTAGTAGATACACAGACGTTTTTTTGACTATCGACACATTTTATATGACAATGCTGCTTGATATCCTATAGAAAGTAGTAGATACACAGACGTTTATTGACTATCGACACATTTCATATGACAATGTTGCTTGATATACTATAGATAGTAGTAGATACACAGACGTTTGTTTGACATCGACACATTTTATATGACAATGTTGCTTGATATTCTATAGATAGTAGTAGAAACACAGACGTATGTTTGACATCGACACATTTCATATGACAATGTTGCTTGGTATCCTATAGATATTAGTAGATACACAGACGTTTGTTTGACTATTGACCCATTTTATATGACAATGTTGCTTGATATTCTATAGATAGTAGTAGATACACAGACGTTTGTTTGACATCGAAACATTTTATATGACAATGTTGCTTGAAATCCTATAGAAAGTAGTAGATACACAGACGTTTGTTTGACTATCGACACAGTTCATATGACAATGTTGCTTGATATTCTATAGATAGTAGTAGATACACAGACGTTTGTTTGACTATCGACACAGTTCATATGACAATGTTGCTTGATATTCTATAGATAGTAGTTCATACACAGACGTTTGTTTGACTATTGACACATTTCATATGACAATGTTGCTTGATATACTATAGATAGTAGTAGATACACAGACGTTTGATTGACTATCGACACAGTTCATATGACAATGTTGCTTGATATTCTATAGATAGTAGTAGATACACAGACGTTTGTTTGACTATCGAAACATTTTATATGACAATGCTGCTTGAAATCCTATAGAAAGTAGTAGATACAGAGACGTTTTTTTGACTATCGACACATTTTATATGACAATGCTGCTTGATATCCTATAGATAGTAGTAGATACACAGACGTTTATTGACTATCGACACATTTCATATGACAATGTTGCTTGATATACTATAGATAGTAGTAGATACACAGACGTTTGTTTGACTATCGAAACATTTTATATGACAATGCTGCTTGAAATCCTATAGAAAGTAATAGATACACAGACGTTTGTTTGACTATTGACACATTTTATATGACAATGTTGCTTGAAATCCTATAGAAAGTAGTAGATACACAGACGTTTTTTTGACTATCGACACATTTTATATGACAATGCTGCTTGATATCCTATAGATAGTAGTAGATACACAGACGTTTGATTGACTATCGACACATTTCATATGACAATGTTGCTTGATATTCTATAGATAGTAGTAGATACACAGACGTTTGTTTGACTATCGAAACATTTTATATGACAATGCTGCTTGAAATCCTATAGAAAGTAGTAGATACACAGACGTTTGTTTGACTATCGACACATTTTATATGACAATGTTGCTTGAAATCCTATAGAAAGTAGTAGATACACAGACGTTTTTTTGACTATCGACACATTTTATATGACAATGCTGCTTGATATCCTATAGATAGTAGTAGATACACAGACGTTTATTGACTATCGACACATTTCATATGACAATGTTGCTTGATATACTATAGATAGTAGTAGATACACAGACGTTTGTTTGACATCGACACATTTTATATGACAATGTTGCTTGATATTCTATAGATAGTAGTAGAAACACAGACGTATGTTTGACATCGACACATTTCATATGACAATGTTGCTTGGTATCCTATAGAAAGTAGTAGATACACAGACGTTTGTTTGACTATTGACCCATTTTATATGACAATGTTGCTTGATATTCTATAGATAGTAGTAGATACACAGACGTTTGTTTGACATCGAAACATTTTATATGACAATGTTGCTTGAAATCCTATAGAAAGTAGTAGATACAGAGACGTTTTTTTGACTATCGACACATTTTATATGACAATGCTGCTTGATATTCTATAGATAGTAGTAGATACACAGACGTTTATTGACTATCGACACATTTCATATGACAATGCTGCTTGATATACTATAGATAGTAGTAGATACACAGACGTTTGTTTGACATCGACACATTTTATATGACAATGTTGCTTGATATTCTATAGATAGTAGTAGAAACACAGACGTATGTTTGACATTGACACATTTCATATGACAATGTTGCTTGGTATCCTATAGATATTAGTAGATACACAGACGTTTGTTTGACTATTGACCCATTTTATATGACAATGTTGCTTGATATTCTATAGATAGTAGTAGATACACAGACGTTTGTTTGACATCGAAACATTTTATATCACAATGTTGCTTGAAATCCTATAGAAAGTAGTAGATACACAGACGTTTTTTTGACTATCGACACATTTTATATGACAATGCTGCTTGATATCCTATAGATAGTAGTAGATACACAGACGTTTATTGACTTTCGACACATTTCATATGACAATGTTGCTTGATATACTATAGATAGTAGTAGATACACAGACGTTTGTTTGACATCGACACATTTTATATGACAATGTTGCTTGATATTCTATAGATAGTAGTAGATACACAGACGTTGTTTGACAGCGACACATTTCATATGACAATGTTGCTTGGTATCCTATAGATATTAGTAGATACACAGACGTTTGTTTGACTATTGACCCATTTTATATGACAATGTTGCTTGATATTCTATAGATAGTAGTAGATACACAGACGTTTGTTTGACATCGACACATTTTATATGACAATGTTGCTTGAAATCCTATAGAAAGTAGTAGATACACAGACGTTTTTTTTACTATCGACACATTTTATATGACAATGCTGCTTGATATCCTATAGATAGTAGTAGATACACAGACGTTTATTGACTTTCGACACATTTCATATGACAATGTTGCTTGATATACTATAGATAGTAGTAGATACACAGACGTTTGTTTGACATCGACACATTTTATATGACAATGTTGCTTGATATTCTATAGATAGTAGTAGATACACAGACGTATGTTTGACAGCGACACATTTCATATGACAATGTTGCTTGGTATCCTATAGATATTAGTAGATACACAGACGTTTGTTTGACTATTGACCCATTTTATATGACAATGTTGCTTGATATTCTATAGATAGTAGTAGATACACAGACGTTTGTTTGACATCGACACATTTTATATGACAATGCTGCTTGATATTCTATAGATAGTAGTAGATACACAGACGTTTGTTTGACTATCGACACATTCTATATGACAATGCTGCTTGATATCCTATAGATAGTGGTAGATACACAGACGTTTGTTTGACTATCGACACATTTTATATGACAATGCTGCTTGATATTCTATAGATAGTAGTAGATACACAGACGTTTGTTTGACTATTGACCCATTTTATATGACAATGTTGCTTGATATTCTATAGATAGTAGTAGATACACAGACGTTTGTTTGACATCGACACATTTTATATGACAATGCTGCTTGATATTCTATAGATAGTAGTAGATACACAGACGTTTGTTTGACTATTGACCCATTTTATATGACAATGTTGCTTGATATTCTATAGATAGTAGTAGATACACAGACGTTTGTTTGACATCGACACATTTTATATGACAATGCTGCTTGATATTCTATAGATAGTAGTAGATACACAGACGTTTGTTTGACTATCGACACATTCTATATGACAATGCTGCTTGATATCCTATAGATAGTGGTAGATACACAGACGTTTGGTTCACGATCGACACATTTCAATACGACAATATACAGAGAACACGTTTGTTAGTCATCTTAATAGAACGCTCTCATTCCCATTAGATATATTATTATGCATATTTATATAATGGCCACAAATACTTACAGTATACTGCAGAGCGCTGAGTGAATCGCCAAGTGGGAATACTTTCCTTCTAATGCGGAAATATAACAATAGCGTATGTGGGCAAGGGGCGTCGGCACATACAGCCAGCCTTATTTCTCCATGAATGTTATCATCCCAGATAGGAGAGGAGATAAAAGTTTACAGAGTAATAATGGAAAGTAACCAGACAGTAATGTCTACAAAACGACACGGATACCCTCATAGCATGACGGGACCAGGGTGACCAAATACAACTCAGTGAGAATATACAAAAGAAATAACAGTAGTCTCTACAGAAATAACGTCCTCACTGCATACATTACACACTGATTCATAATTGACAGTCATGAAGGGCAAAGGTTGAAGTTAAGAATAATACACACAAAATTATATTGTATTGTATTGCATTGTATTGTATTGTATTGTATTGTATTGTATTGTATTGTATTGTATTGTTTTGTGTTGTATTGTATTGTATTGTATTGCACTTTTTTAATCGGCTTTATTCACAAAGGTTTGTTGGCCAGCGCCCCATATTGCAATATTGTATTGTACTGATTGTAATGGGTTGCATAGTAATTGGTGTGGTACATGCCACATGTTTACTGAACATTATGAAGCATGAACTACATAATGAAGCATGAAGAAATGGCTACGCAATGAGTGACAAATATATTTTCAATAGTTTTCAGCAAGTTTTCAGCGTGTTTAAGTCAGATATCAAGTATGTGTGAACATTTAGAGACAGTTTTGCATCTCTCATTACTTCTGTACACAGCTCGTTACTCTCATCACCTCTGTACACAACTCATGTTACTCTCATCACCTCTGTACACAGTTCATGTTACTCTCATCACTTCTGTACACAGCTCATGTAACTCTCATCACTTCTGTACACAGCTCATGTTACTCTCATCACCTCTGTACACAGCTCATGTTACTCTCATCACTACTGTACACAGCTCATGTTACTCTCATCACCTCTGTACACAGCTCATGTTACTCCCATCACTTCTGTACACAGCTTATGTTACTCTCATCACTTTTGTACACAGCTCATGTTACTCTCATCTCTACTGTACACAGCTCATGTTACTCTCATCACCTCTGTACACAGCTCATGTTACTCTCATCACCTCTATACACAGCTCATGTTACTCTCATCACTTCTGTACATCTCATGTTACTCTCATCACTTCTGTACACAGCTCATGTTACTCTCATCACTTCTGTACACAGCTCATGTTACTCTCATCACTTTTGTACACAGCTCATGTTACTCTCATCTCTACTGTACACAGCTCATGTTACTCTCATCACCTCTGTACACAGCTCATGTTACTCTCATCACTTCTGTACACAGCTCATGTAACTCTCATCACTTCTGTACACAGCTCATGTTACTCTCATCACCTCTGTACACAGCTCATGTTACTCTCATCACTACTGTACACAGCTCATGTTACTCTCATCACCTCTGTACACAGCTCATGTTACTCCCATCACTTCTGTACACAGCTTATGTTACTCTCATCACTTTTGTACACAGCTCATGTTACTCTCATCTCTACTGTACACAGCTCATGTTACTCTCATCACCTCTGTACACAGCTCATGTTACTCTCATCACCTCTATACACAGCTCATGTTACTCTCATCACTTCTGTACATCTCATGTTACTCTCATCACTTCTGTACACAGCTCATGTTACTCCCATCACTTCTGTACACAGCTTATGTTACTCTCATCACTTTTGTACACAGCTCATGTTACTCTCATCTCTACTGTACACAGCTCATGTTACTCTCATCATTTCTGTACACAGCTCATGTTACTCTCATCACCTCTATACACAGCTCATGTTACTCTCATCACTTCTGTACATCTCATGTTACTCTCATCACTTCTGTACACAACTCATGTTACTCTCATCACCACTTTACACAGCTCATGTTACTCTCATCACTTCTGTACACAGCTCGTCACTCTCATCACTTCTGTACACAACTCATGTTACTCTCATCTCTTCTGTACACAGCTCATGTTACTCTCATCACCTCTATACACAGCTCATGTTACTCTCATCACTTCTGTACACAGCTCGTCACTCTCATCACTTCTGTACACAACTCATGTTACTCTCATCTCTTCTGTACACAGCTCATGTTACTCTCATCACCTCTATACACAGCTCATGTTACTCTCATCACTTCTGTACATCTCATGATACTCTCATCACTTCTGTACACAACTCATGTTACTCTAATCACCACTTTACACAGCTCATGTCACTCTCATCACCTCTGTACACAGCTCATGTTACTCTCACCACTTCTTACACAGCTCATGTTACTCTCATCACCTCTGTACACAGCTCATGTTACTCTCATCACCTCTGCACACAGCTCATGTTACTCTCATCACTTCTGTACACAGCTCATGTTACTCCCATCACTTCTGTACACAACTCATGTTACTCTCATCACCACTTTACAGAGCTCATGTTACTCTCATCACCTCTATACACAGCTCGTGTTACTCTCATCACTTCTGTACACAATTTATGTTACTCTCATCACTTCTGTACACAACTCATGTTACTCTCATCACCTCTGTACACAGCTCGTTACTCTCATCACCTCTGTACACAGCTCATGTTACTCTCATCACCTCTGTAGGCCGCTCGTCACTCTCATCACTTCTGTAGGCCGCTCGTCACTCTCATCACCTCTGTACGCAGCTCATGTTACTCTCATCACCTCTGCACACAGCTTATGTTACTCTCATCACCTCTGCAAACAGCTCATGTTACTCCCATCACTTCTGTACACAGCTCATGTTACTCCCATCACTTCTGTACACAGCTTATGTTACTCCCATCACTTCTGTAAACAGCTCATGTTACTCTCATCACCTCTGTACACAGCTTATGTTACTCTCATCACTTCTGTACACAGCTCATGTTACTCTCATCACCTCTGTACACAGCTTATGTTACTCCCATCACTTATGTAAACAACTCATGTTACTCTCATCACCTCTGTACACAGCTTATGTTACTCTCATCACCTCTGCACACAGCTCATGTTACTCCCATCACTTCTGTACACAGCTTATGTTACTCCCATCACTTCTGTACACAGCTCATGTTACTCTCATCACTTCTGTAAACAGCTCATGTTACTCTCATCACTTCTGCACACAGCTCATGTTACTCCCATCACTTCTGTACACAGCTCATGTTACTCCCATCACTTCTGTACACAGCTTATGTTACTCTCATCACCTCTGTACACAGCTTATGTTACTCTCATCACTTCTGTAAACAGCTCATGTTACTCCCATCACCTCTGTACACAACTTATGTTACTCTCATCACCTCTGCACACAGCTTATGTTACTCTCATCACCTCTGTACACAGCTCATGTTACTCCCATCACTTCTGTACACAGCTTATGTTACTCTCATCACTTCTGTACACAGCTCATGTTACTCCCATCACTTCTGTACACAGCTCATGTTACTCCCATCACTTCTGTACACAGCTCATGTTACTCCCATCACTTCTGTACACAGCTCGTTACTCCGATCACTTCTGTACACAGCTCTTGTTACTTTCACCCAGTGTATGAAGTAGTTTCCAAAGTTATCTGCATTTGGTCAGGAGGGCTTGTTGACAAAATTTGTTGCAAGCCTTCGTCATATTTTAATAAATCTATTTTATGGAGGCTGCCATTTACAGCTTAACTGACTTGATGATTTGTATAAAATACTAGAAATAAATAAGTATTTACAAGAATATTCAACTGTAGTTGGGCCAGCTTTACGAAAATTTACAGTTCATGCTACTCTCACCACCTCTCATTACTTTTAAATACAGGTCAACAAATTTGTTATGTCTCTCTCATTAACTTTGTACTTGGCCCTTGGCACGGGTATGGTGCTGACAAACCTAGAAACATAATCGGGGCGAACCGGGATTCGAACCCACAATCATAGGTTCTGGCGTGCCCATGGGACGCAACTCTGCACAGGGAATCGCAGTAACCTAGACGACTGGGCCACCCATGCCCCCTAATTCATTGGGGCAGGGCCATCCTCAGTGTATTGGTTGATAGCGTGCCATCATACCCGAACGACATGGATCGCTGCTCATAGTATCAATCACTGGATGGTCTGGTACAGACTCAATAGTTTACAGGTTGCACACAACAAAAGGCAAATAAGTATATTTTCAATTTTATTTTCAGAAAAGCAGACCAGATGCCATACAATGGGGAAAAAAAGAATTTTAGCTTGAGAATTTACATATTCGAATTTACACAATATACATATCACAAAAAGTACACACGTTTCATTCTAAAATGCAATCTGAGAACCTTGAAATACCAATAAATTATGTACCCTTGACAAAAATGTACATCAGAAAAATCATCATCAACATCATAAGTAAAGCTCACTACTTGTTAGACAAGAACTGAAAGAGCAATATAAGTATTACAACACCAAGAAATATCACCCAAGGAAGATTCGTTACAACAGTGTTAATTCCCTTGGGTTTGGTATGCCTAATGTTTGAAACTCAACATGAATTTGAAACTCGATGGGATTCTGGGTCCAAATATGTCCCCATGACTGGGATTTAATGATCAAGCTGTGTGACATGGCTGATTGTGTGTCATTGGTCACCATGGCCTGAATGCTCATTCTTCCAGAGAGTTTTGCCTGGTCCATATGTAATTAACAGACTGTTGCAACATTGATTTAATACTGCTGACTGAAGTGTGTAACAACATTAACCCCTTCACCCACTTACATTGACAGCTACAGAAGTAAATGCACGTTAATGAAGTGAGTTGGGTTTAATGACGCTTTGAACAGTATTTCAGTTATGTAACGGTGTGTCAGCTTGATGTGGGAGGAAAGCCTGATGTGATGCAGGTCTGAGAAATTAGCCACTTCGGTGACAACCAGGAGCACAAGTACAGTCAAGTCCCGTTAATCCGACATTGTTGGTTGCATATCACTATGTCAGGTTAACGAGTATGTCGGATACACAAATAAGGTAGTATCAATGCTTGTGATCGAAAATTATTGTTAAGCAAGTTTATCTCTGGAGCCGTTGAGATATGCAGCTACTCGATGACTCGTCTCGATTCAAAACACTGGGCTGTGTACTCGCAGGCGGATGACCACATAGTACACTGATCACTGTGTCGGATTAACGAGACT